ATATACAAGGTAAAAGACAACAAAGGGAAGGAAGGGAGGTAAAGGAAACAGGATGAATTTAAGAAACAGTCATTGAATGTACTTAGGGTTAGATTAATGAATAAAGATACTGTTCTAAATATTTTAAATGATTAGAATACAGACTTTTTTGTTATAGTCTGAACCAGGCATGGGCAAAGTTTGGCTCTCTAGGTGTTTAGGACTTCAGCTCCCACAATTCCTAACAGTCGATAAGCTGGCTGGGATTTCTGGGAGTTGAAGTTCAAAACACCCAGAGGGCCAAACTTTGCCCATGCCTGGTGAACTGTACTGAAATCACATGAAATTGGCAGCAAAATTAATTGTGTTGTATTGATAGAGAACACATCAATTCAGGCTTCCTTCCGGATTGTTGGCTTTGTGGGATCCAACAGGGACTTGTTTGTGTTTTCATAATGAAACTTTGTGATGAGCAATATACTTTAATGGTGCTAAAATGAAAATTAAGCAAGAATAACAACAACCAGCGTCACAATTATACCATCTCTAATTTAGAAACATAAAGGAATCCAGTGCTACCTTTGAGATTAATTAGGAAGAAGACATTTCCAGCATAAGCTTTTCTGTTCACAGTCCATGTTATCAGATACAAGAAACGGACTGTGTTCATGAAAGCTTATGCTACATTTCTCCTTCCCATTTAAGTCTCAGAGATGTTGCTAGAATACATTGTAACTTTTTATGCTAAAAATTAGAGTTGTGTGTGGAATTAGTTTCTCCCATTCCATCCGTTCTTTCGGTCCCTTCAGGAGCATGTAACAGGAAGCCCTGTGCCAGCACGGAAATCAGCTCAACACGAAAGCAAGCGGTTTCGAGGTGGGATGTAGGGGTGGATGCATTCGGACAAGTAAGCTGGGCCAGAACCGTACAGAGCTTTATAGGTCAGAACCAGCACTTTGGATTGGGCTCGGAGGTGGACCGGCAACCTGTGGAGCTGGCACAACAGTGAGCTGGCAGTCTGGCTGCCGACCGTTGGACTAGCTGAAGTTTCTGAACCGTTTTCAAAGGCAGCCGCATGTAGAGCGCGTTGCAGCAGGCTGAGTTTTATTGGGGGGGGGGGCTGAGTCTGAGTGAAAGAGGGTCTACCCTAGCAAACCTTTTGTATCGTTACTCCAATACCCCCATGCATATGGGATATATTGAGCATGGTGATCAGATCATGATATGAATAAACATAACAGTTTAAATAATGTACCGGGGGGGGGGGGATGAAGCCCACCAAGCCCGCCCGCCCTTCTGGCTACATGCCTGCCTGCGTTGCAGTAATCTATTCGGGATGTAACTGTACACGGATGATTCCAACTCTGTCACTCCTTTCCACCTGCTACTAAGGAGGCTGTTCAGTTCCTGAACCGGTGTTTAGCCGCTGTAACGGTCTGGATGAGGGCAAACAAATTGAAATTGAATCCAGACAAGACAGAGGTACTCCTGGTCAGTCATAAGGCCAAACAGGGCACAGGGTTACAGCCTGTGTTGGATGGGGTCACACTCCCCCTGAAGACGCAGGTTCACAGCTTGGGTGTGATCTTGGACTCATAGCTGAGCCTGGAACCCCAGGTTTCAGCAGTGACCAGGGGAGCATTCGCACAGTTAAAACTTGTGCACCAGCTGCGCCCATACCTTGGGAAGTCTGACTTGGCCACAGTAGTCCACGCTCTGGTTACATCCCGTATAGACTGCTGCAACGCTCTCTACGAGGGGTTGCCTTTGAAGACTGCTCGAAAGCTTCAAATGGTCCAGCGTTCGGCAGCCAGGTTGCTAACAGGAGCGGCACTCAGGGAGCATACAACCCCCCTTCTGCGCCAGCTCCACTGGCTGCCAGTTTGCTACCGGGCACAATTCAAAGTGCTGGCGTTAGCCTATAAAGCCCTGAACGGTTTTGGCCCTACTTACCTCTCCGAACGCATCTCCTCCTATTAACCGACTAGGACACTAAGATCATCTGGGGAGGCCCTGCTCTTTGTCCCGCCGGCATCACAGGTGTGCTTGGCGGGGACAAGAGACAGGGCCTTCTCAGTGGTGGCCCCTCGGCTGTGGAACGCCCTGCCTGCAGATATCAGATCGGCCCCCTCCCTGCTGGCGTTCTGGAGGAAAGTGAAGGCCTGGCTGTTCGAACAAGCATTTGATTAAACAGTGGAATTGAACATAGGAATATGGAATAATGAATGATGAGACTGGATTCTGATTTTACTGTTGAGGCGCTAATGATTGTTATTCTAATGTTAATGATTTATGTTACAATTGTTTTCAATTGACCTGTACTTGTCTCGTGATGTTTTGTATCAATGTTGTTCACCGCTTTGAGTCGCCCGAGGGCTGAGAAAAGCGGTATATAAATAAAGTAAATAAAGTAAATAAATAAATAACTAGAGCGTGGAGCACCGTGGCCAAGTCAGACTTCCCAAGGTACGTGCGCAGCTGGCACACAAGAAACACTGTTCTGAGGCATTTTCGAATGGATCCATTCTTCAAATCTCAAAACCCAGCCATGACTATTATTATTATTAACTTTTTTGTACCCCGCTAACATCTCCCGAAGGACTTGGTGCGGCTTACAAAGGCCAAGGCCCTCAATAAAACAGCAGCATAACAAATACAACAATAAAACTCATAAAGCAAACCAATAAACATTAAAGCAATAACAGTAAAACATCAAAACAATACATCATGACACATTTAAAACTAGGGCCGGGCCAAATGTAATGAATAAATTAAAAGTGCTGGACATGACAGGTGAAATGTAAGGATTTTAGGGTAGGTGCGATGTGCAGGCAATCTTAAATCTCTGGTAAAGTGCGTTTGGGACATGATGCTGGGAGTTTCCTATTCTGGAAAGGCACACTGGAACAGCCAGGTCTTCAAGCTCTTCCTAAAGACTGCCAATGTTGGGGCTTGTCTGATGTCCTTGGGGAGAGAGTTCCAGAGTCGGGGGGCCACCACGGAGAAGGCCCTGTCCCTCGTCCCCACCAATCGCGCTTGCGACGCAGGTGGGATCGTGAGCAGGGCCTCTCCAGATGATCGGAGAGATTGTGTGGGTTCATATACGGAGATGCGGTCACAGGTAGGCGGGTCCCAAACCGTTTAGGGCTTTGTAGGTAAGCACCTGCACCTTTAATTGGGACCGGAAAATGAATGGCAACCAGTGGAGCTCCTTAAACAGGAGGGTTGACCTCTCTCTGTAAGGAGCACCAGTTAACATCCTGGCCGCCACCCGTTGGACCAGTTGGAATTTCCGAGCCGTTTTCAAGGGCAGCCCCATGTAGAGTGCATTACAGTAGTCCAATCTGGAGGTGACTAAGGCATGGACCACCCTGGCCAAATCAACCTTTGCAAGGTACGGTCGCAGTTGGCGCACAAGTCTCAGCTGTGCAAAAGCCCTCCCAGACACTGCCGACGCCTGAGCCTCAAGCGTAAATGATGAATCCAAGAGGACTCCCAAACTGCGGACCTGTGATTTCAGCGGGAGTGTAACCCCATCCCGCACAGGTTGCCACCCTATACCCCAATCCGGTTTACAATTGACCAGGAGGACCTCTGTCTTGTCGGGATTGATCTTTAGCTTGTTCTTCCTCATCCAGATAGACACAGCAGCCAGGCACTCATCCAGCACTCGAGGGGCCTCCTTGGAATTGGGTGGAAATGAGTAGTAGAGTTGTGTGTCATCTGCGTAGAGATGGCACCTGTGACGATGTGTAACTTTTATTCTTATGGTTATGTGTTGTTTAAACAGTAGTTAATAAATGGTAAGTATGTAGGATTATATTTTGTTAGATATGGTGGCTGGTGGCTTGAGCTGAGTTGCCATAGCAACGGGGGCGGAGCCAACTGCCTCTTCACGGGGCAGCTGTTTGAAAGTGGCAGTCTGTGACCGTTAGTGTTACAGGGAAGACTGAATCTCTGGGTGGAGATTCAGGGAATTAATTTGTGACCAAAGGGGTTACAGGAAAGGACCCGATAGTGATAAAACTACAGGGGATTATTGATTCTGGGTTAAGAATCAAGGTTTGGCTGGGAGCCAATTCTGTTGAATAGGCCTTTTGGCTTATTTGTTTTGTTGGGACAGTTGTCCAGAAGAGATACATCTGCTTATAGAAACCTCTTGGAAGTCTGTGCCTGAGGTTACTCATGAAACCTTACTAATGTAACCAGTCAAGATTCGTGCCTCTTGTGAAGAAACAATCAAATCTGTTATACCTTGCTTGTTCCAATAAAATTGTTACTGTTCTCCTCAAGCCTTGCCTGATACAGTTTCTCTTAAGTCAAACAGCCTGCATAAGAAGTAAAACCAAACCAGGGACAGAAAACGCTACGCTATCAATACCTCTGTAAATAATAGTCCCTTTATAAACCAGCTCATAAGCTGATATTGATCATTGCCCGGCTTTCCTCACAGATTAGGTGGCAGTAGTTTTACCCTCCTTTACAGCACCCAACTCCAAAACTCCGGATGACCTCTCCCAGCGGTTTCATGGAGATGTTAAAGAGCATGGGAGACACAATAGAGCCTTGCGGGACCCCACAGGTCAAAGGCGAGGGGTCCAAGCAAGCATCTCCCAGCTTCACCATCTGGGATCGACCCTCCAGGAAAGACCGAAGCCAGGACGGAACCGTACCCCCGAGACCCATCCCAGAGAGTCGTCCTAGAAGGATACCATGATTGATGGTATCAAAAGCCGCTGAGATGTCCAAGAGAACCAACAGAGTCACCACTCTCCCTGTCCAGCTCTCTACAACTGTTTGGTTTGCTCCTGGCACGATAAATAAATAAACCTAGGTACCTAAACTAGCTGAAAAGAAGGAGAAGGAGATGCTCCTTTGCTTTGCTTTGCAAAGGAAGGAAAGAGGGGCAGGCCCGTTTGGGGCTCCCCAAGCTGTGACGAAAGGGGAAGCCGAGGGCGGGGCCTTTCCTCTCCTGTGGAGACTTCTCACGCACTTGAGAGAGAGAGAGAGAGACAGAGACGCCCACAAAAGGCGAGAAGAGCCAGCGCCGCGTTTGAATCCGCCAAGGCTTCGCTGCCAGCCAACGGGGAGCCGAGCCAGCTGCCGACGTCGGAGAGGCTCGGGGCGGTGCTTTGCCTTGGCTCCGGTGCATTGGCGCTGTTTGTTCAGACCCGGGCTGGCGGGAAGAGAAGCCGGATCGAGAGGCAGAGAGAGAGAGGGAGGGAGGAAGGAGTCTCCTCGCTGTGCCTTCCCTTAGGCGGCAATGCCTGGCGAAGAAGGGCTTTGACCCGTCTAGAGAGCCACCAGCAGCCTCCCCTCCTCACCCGCTTATGTACATACTCCAGAAAACCATGAGGGTAAGGCAGAAAAGGTTTCTTTTTGCCCCACTCTCTCTTTCTTTCCTCTCTTGCATCCTCTGGCTTTAGGTTTGGGGCTGAGGTGGAATCAGGTTTGGAACTCCCCTGTCTTTGGAGGCAAAAGACTCGCCTAGAAACGCTGTGGAAGAGCTTGTTTTCTTTTATGAGCTTCTCTCAGAGAGCCTTATTTGGAGACATGGATGCCAAATGTATCTTGTGGGATGGGTTGAGCACTTGGCTCCAGTTTGTGTACCAGACATGGCTCGCCTCCAAGGGCCCTTCCACACAGAACATCCAGTTCAAGATCTGCTTTGAACTGGAATATATAGCAGTGTGGACTCAGGCCCCTTACCACATTATCTGCTTTGAACTGGGCATATATGGCAGTGTGGACTCCGATATTCCACTTAAAAGCAGATATTCCACTTAAAAGCAGGTGATTTCAGCATCAGTCTTGGGGCCCTTCCATACAGACATATAACCCAGAATATTAAGGCAGAAAATCTCAAATTTCATACTTTGAACTGGAATATATGGCAGTGTGGACTCAGATATTCCACTTCAGTTCAAAGCAGATATTGTGGGATTTTCTGCCTTGATATTTCAGGTTATATGGTTGTGTGGAAAGGCTTCAAGTCTGATGCTAAAATTGTTTTATTTTGCTTAGGGCCCTTCCACACTGCCCTTTAACCCAGGATCTGATCCCAGATTATCTGCATGTTACTGGAATATGAGTCCCCACTGCCAGATAACCTGGGATAAGTAGATAATCTGGGATCAGATCCTGGGATATAGGGGCAGTGTGAATGGCAGTGTGGACTCAGATATTCCAGTTCAAAGCAGATATTGTGGGATTTTCTGCCTTGATATTTCGGGTTATATGGTTGTGTGGAAGGGCTTCAAGTCTGATGCAAAAATGGTTTTATTTTGCTTAGGGCCCTTCCACACTGCCATTTAACCCAGAATCTGATCCCAGATTATCTGCATGTAACTGGAATATATGAGTCCCCACTGCCAGATAACCTGGGATAAGCAGATAATCTGGGATCAGATCCTGGGATATAGGGGCAGTTTGGTCATGTCAGGACCAACTTGAGAAACTGCAAGTCGCTTCTGGTGTGAGAGAATTGGCCGTCTGCAAGGATGTTGCCCAGGGGACACCCGAATGTTTTGATGTTTTAACATCCTTGTGGGAGGCTTTTCTCATGTCCCCGTATGGAAAGCTGGAGCTGATAGAGGGAGCTCATCCGCCTCTTCCTGGATTTGAACCTGCAACCTGTCGGTCTAAAGTCCTGCCGGCACAGGGGTTTAACCCACTGCGCCACCTGGGGCTATAGGGGCAGTGTGAATGGCAGTGTGGACTCAGGTATTCCAGTTCAAAGCAGATATTGTGGGATTTTCTGCCTTTATATTTCAGGTTATATGGCTGTCTTGAAAGGTCCCAAGTCTGATGCTAAAATGGTTTTATTTTGGGCTGTTTTAGCTCCAGATCTGGGTGGCTTGAGTTGTGTTGTTTACTAAAAGTCAGACATAACAAGTGCAGTGATGCTTAGGGCCCTTCCACGCTGTCCCTATATCCTAGGATCAGATCCTGGGATATAGGGGCAGTGTGAATGGCAGTGTGGACTCAGATATTCCACTTAAAACAGATGTTGTGGGATTTTCTGCCTTTATATTTCGAGTTATATGGCTGTCTGGAAGGGCTTCATGTCTGATGCTAAAATGGTTTTATTTTGGTCTGATTTAGTTCCAAATCTGGACAGTTTGAGTTGTGTTGTTTACTAAAAGTCAGACATAACAAGAGCACTGTCCCTTTATCCCAGGATCTGATCCCAGATTATCTGCTTGTAACTGGAATATATGAGTCCCCACTTCCAGATAACCTGGATAAGCAGGTAATTTGGGATATAGGGGCAGTTTGGAGGGGCCCTAAAGCCCTTCCTTCCACACAGCTGAATAAAATCCCATATTTTCTGCTTTGAACTGAAATATATGGCTGTGTGGACTCACATATTCCAGTTCAAAGCAGATATTGTGGGATTTTCTGACAGATTATCTGCTTGTTTTAGTTCCAGATCTGGATGGCTTGTGGTGCGCTGTTTATTAAAAGTCAGACATAACAAGTGCAGTGATGCTTAGGGCCCTTCCACACTGTCCCTATATCCCAGGATCTGATCCCAGATTATCTGTATGTAACTGGAATACATGAGTCCCCATTGCCAGATAATTTGGGATCAGATCATGGGATATAGGGGCCCTTTCTTCAACACAGCTGAATAAAATCCCACATTTTCTGTTTTGAACTGGAATATATGGCAGTGTGGACTCAGATATTCCAGTTCAAAGCAGATATTGTGGGATTTTCTGCCTTGATATTTCAGGATATATGGCTGTGTGGAAGGGCTTCAAGTCTGATGCTAAAATGGTTTTATTTTGCTTAGGGCCCTTCCACACTGCCGTTTAACCCAGGATCTGATCTCATATTATCTGCATGTAACTGGAATATATGAGTCCCCACTGCCAGATAACCTGGGATAAGTTATCAAACCACAAGAAAGGAGATTCCATCTGAACATGAGGAAGAACTTCCTGAGTGTGAGAGCGGTTCAGCAGTGGAACTCTCTGCCCCGGAGTGTGGTGGAGGCTCCTTCTTTGGAAGCTTTTAAACAGAGGCTGGATGGCCATCTGTCAGGGGTGATTTGAATGCAATATTCCTGCTTCTTGGCAGGGGGTTGGACTGGATGGCCCACGAGGTCTCTTCCAACTCTGATTTTGTGATTCTATGGGATCAGATCCTGGGATATAGGGGCCGTGTGAATGGCAGTGTCGACTTAGATATTCCACTTAAAAGCAGATGTTGTGAGATTTTCTGCCTTGATATTTCAGGTTATATGGCTGTCTGGAAGGCTCCCAAGTATGATGCTAAAATGGTTTTATTTTGGGCTGTTTTAGCTCCAGACCTGGGCAGCTTCAGTTGCACTGTTTACTAAAAGTCAGACATAACAAGTGCAGTGATGCTTAGGGCCCTTCCACACTGTCCCTATATCCCAGGATCTGATCCCAGATTATCTGAATGTTACTGGAATATATGACTCCCCATTGCCAGATAATCTGGGGTCAGATCATGGGATATAGAGACAGTGTGGAAGGGCCCTAAAGCCCTTCCTTCCACACAGCTGAATAAAATGCCACATTTTCTGTTTTGAACTGGAATATATGGCAGTGTGGACTCAGATATTCCAGTTCAAAGTAGATATTGTGGAATTTTCTGTCTTGATATTCCGGGTTGTATGGCTGTCTGGAAGGGCCTCAAGTCTGATGCTGAAATTGTTTTATTTTGGCCTGTCTTAGCTCCGGATCTGGGCGGCTTGAGTTGTGTTGTTTACTAAAAGTCAGACATAACAAGTGCAGTGATGCTTAGGTCCCTTCCACATTGCCCCTTTATCCCAGGATCTGATCCCAGATTATCTGCTTGTAACGGGAATATATGAGTCCCCACTTCCAGATAACCTGGATAAGCGGGTAATCTGGGATATAGGGGCAGTTTGGAGGGGCCCTAAAGCTCTTCCTTCCACACAGCTGAATAAAATCCCACATTTTCTGTTTTGAACTGGAATATATGGCAGGGTGGGCTCAGACATTCCAGTTCAAAGCAGATATTGTGGGATTTTCTGCCTTGATATTCTGGGTTATATGTCTGTGTGGAAGGGCCGAAGTCTGATGCTGAAATAGTTTTGTTTTGGGCTGTTTTAGCTCCGGATCTGGGAGCTTGAGTTGCACTGTTTACCAAAATCCAGACATAACAAGTGTGGTGATGCTTAGAGTCCTTCCACACTGCCCTTTATCCCAGGATCTGATCACAAGGACCAAAATCTATGGTGGAAGAGTGGGAATGCATCACATATTGATATAATGCAATATCTCATCTTGGACTAGACCTAACTAAAGAAACTGGAGGAAAAAAGGGACCAGATTAGGAACACCTTTGTCTCTCATGCCACCCGCCCAAACTTGAAATTTGGATTATATTCTCCTTCGGGCAAGGAATTGCTTTGCTCAAACCAGAGTTTCTCAAACTCTGCTCCTCCAGGCGTTTTGGACCTCAGCTGTCACAGTTCTTAACAGCTGGTAAATTGGCTGGGATTTCTGGGTGTTGAAGTCCAAAACACCTAGAGGAGCACAGTTTGAGAAACACTGGCTTGAACTATAGTACAAGGGTTTAAGGGTTTCTTAAATTTTTGTCACTCATGACCCCTTTCCACCAGAGAAATTTTGGCATGATCCCAGGTACATAGGTATATAAAACAGGTATGCAAATAAAATGTTTACTGGTAACGAAGCAGCATTTGCAAGACTGGCTGAACAGGCTGATTTTCAGGGTTGTTGTGAGTTTTCCGGGCTGTATGGCCATGTTCCAATAGCATTCTCTCCTGATGTTTCTCCTGCATCTATGGCAGGCATCCTCAAAAGTTGTGAGGTCTGTTGGAAACTAGGAAAATTGGGTTTATATATCTGTGGAACGTCCAGGGTGGGAGAAAGAACTCTTGTCTGTTGGAGCTAGGTGTGAATGTTTCAATTGGTTGCCTTGATTAGCATTTAATGGCCTAGCAGTTTCAAGGTCTGGCTTCTTACTGCCTGGGGGAATTTCCTTTTTGTGGAGTACAGTTGAAGCATTTTCTGCAGAGTCCATTGTAAACACTGCACGTTTTCACGAACAAATTTGAGGAAATGGATGACACTGAGAAACCTTTATCTATTATCAAATATTGTGGTTTGAAGTCTGCTTCTACAGTAAGTCCCCTTCTACATAGCCATATAAAATCCAGATTATCAGATTTGAACTGAATTATATGGCAGTGTAGACTCAGTTCAAAGCAGATCATGTGGATTGTCTGATTTGATCATCTGGATTATATAGTGGTGTAGAAGGGGCCTAAGAAGCAGTGGTATAGAATATTTATTTATGTATTCATTGGATTTGTCTTTCTCCCAGAATGATT